AAGGACTTATGCCCGAGCAGGAGCAGAATAGTTTTTCCGGAATAGCGGCTGATTTTGTACAGTTCAGCGTCGTTGCTTTTCCAGAAATTCAAGGGCCAGTGTAGACAGCTCGCAGCTTATTCCAGAAAAGCGGCTGATTTTCTGGAATAAGTGGCCCAGTGTAGACACAGCCCTGTAGTGTGTACTCTATTCTATGGCAGCAATACTAATACACAGATTTGTATGTGTATTTCACTGCATCTAGAAGCCCATATATTGCAAATTGAAACAAAACTTCACCTCAAAAACCCACAACAAGAAACACTAGAAAATTGAAGAGAAAAGTAATGTAAAGTACATGCTTCTTCTTTAAGGTTTCTGTCATACCAATAGCAAACAAGGCTCTGTTTAAGGTTGTTTTCAGTATTTGGGATGTTAAAAAGTACTTTAAAATTTCAGCAGTTAAAGGTTCACATGCAGAAGGGAAGCGGTGGCTGCTTGAGAGCCCATGCACATGCAACGTACAGCCTCCTGCCAGGTCCCCCACAATGATGCCTTCAGTGTCGTCGTCCCCTCCCCACAGCCTTCTGAACATAAGAACGGCCGTACTGGGTCAGACCAAAGGTCCATCTAGCCCAGTATCCTGTCTGCCGACAGTGGCCAATGCCAGGTGCCCCAGAGAGGGTGGACCGAAGACAATGATCAAGCAATTTGTCTCCTGCCATCCCTCATCCCTCTCCAGCCTCTGACAACCAGAGGCCAAGGACACCATTTTATCCCCTGGCTAATAGCCTTTTATGGACCTAACCTCCATGAAATTATCTAGCTTCTCTTTAAACTCTATTATAGTCCTAGCCTTCACAGCCTCCTCTGGCAAGGAGTTCCACAGGTTGACTACACGCTGTGTGAAGAACTTTCTTTTATTAGTTTTAAACCTGCTACCCATTAATTTCATTTGGTGTCCTCTAGTTCTTCTATTATGGGAACTAATAAATAACTTTTCTTTATCGGCCCTCTCCACACCACTCATGATTTTATAGACCTCTATCCTATCCCCCCTCAGTCTCCTCTTTTCTAAACTGAAAAGTCCCAGTCTCTTTAACCTCTTCTCATATGGGACCCGTTCCAAACCCCTAATCATTTTAGTTGCCCTTTTATGAACCCTTTCTAAGGCCAAAATATCTTTTTTGAGGTGAGGAGACCACATCTGTACACAGTATTCAAGATGTGGGCGTACCTTAGTTTTATACAGGGGCAGTAAGATATTCTGTGTCTTATTTTCTATCTCTTAATAATTTCTAGCATCCTATTTGCCTTTTTGACCGCTGCTGCACGCTGTGGGGAAGTTTTCAGAGAACTACCCACGATAACTCCAAGATCTTTCCTGATGTGTCATAGCCAAATTAGCCCCCATCATACTGTACGTATAGTTGGGGTTATTTTTCCCAAGGTGCATTACTTTACACTTATCCACATTAAATTTCATTTGCCATTTTGTTGTCCAATCTCGGGGGGGAGGCAAGGCTCCCAGGGCTGCCCCAGGCCTCCAGCAGCCCCCCCAATGGTCTGCAGGCTGAGGGTCAGGAAGGGGGGGGGAAGGGACAGATTCAACAGGATGTTCCCCCTCAGCAGCTCCGCCCTGCGGTGAGCAAGGTTCTGGGGGCTGCCCCACCTCCAGCTAGGGTTG